GTAGGAGGAGCACATGAGCGCGTGAGCGGTTAACTCTACCGCTCATTCGTAAGGTAGATTCCCCTGAGAAGAATGAGGAAGAAACTATGGGGGTTGCTCTTTGTTAATAACATTTGTACACATTCAACATTTATAATATATTTTTTCTTTGTTTTAAAACATCAGAGATCGAGACTACCTCCACGAGCTAAACGGGTTACTACCACGGATTTTTGTTGTCCAAGTACGTAGAAGTTGGATAATAACCTTTAGTATAAAGTTTTTGTTTCACTATAGTTTTAAGCCTCGTGAAAGGCAAATTTTGTATATCAACCGGAATCTTGTCATATAAGCGTATTGCCCCTTAAATGATTTTTTGACTTTGTGAAGACGAGTATCAAGAACAGTTTATTTTTATTCCTCGTATTAATGTTATCTCTGTCACTATTTTTCAAAAAGAGATTACTATTCATCTTAACATAAATTACATTTTCATAAATGTACTATGAGGCTAGTGTAAGAATGTTAATTTCCTTAAACTTATCTCTCGAAGATACTCTGAGGCCCAGATTGTAAATTGCCCTAACCGCACGTTTCTACAGGACAAAGATTCTATTGATATCGGCAGCATTACGCTAAAGCAAAATGCCGTATGTCATTAGACTGTGAAAGTAGCTGAAGTAAACCAGTCTAGCTGTTTCGACGTCTGAAAGTTTCCGTATTTTTTTAATCGCGTACACTGCAAAGCCGAGACGTTTTGATAATTTACTTATAAGAGGACCTCATTGCAATTTAGCATCTAACGTTACACCTAGAAATACAACTGTATCTCTAACATTGGGTAATGTAAATTTCACACAATTAGTTTTTTTTATAATTAAGGAGTAGGTTATTAACAGCAAACCAATCAATTACTTTAGATATAGCATTGTTCACGTCGTCGTAGGAACATTGGTGCCTTTTAACTTTAAATAATAAGGAAGCATCATCAGCAAACAATACTATCTCATGTTTTATACCCTCCATGACGCTAGGTAAGTCATTAATATAAACTAAAAACAAAAATGGGCCTAGAACTGAACCTTGAGGGACACCCATGCTAATTGCAGATCCTGATGATCTGGTACCGTTAACATCGACCCTCTGTACCCTACCACGCAAATACGATTTAAGAAGGTTGAGGTCATTCCCGCCACACCATGATAGTGAATGTTCCGGACCAGTATATCATGGCTTACACAATCAAATGCCTTGGAAAGTCACAGAATACACCAATAGCATCATGTGAAACGTCCAATGCATCAAATATATGATTCATCAACTCAACACCAGCATCGGTTGTAGAGCGACCCCGAGTGACACCAAATTGTTTAGGAGACATTAAGTTATTACTACAAAAATTTGCACACATCTGATTTAGAATAATTTTCTCAAATATTTTATTGAAAATCTAAGTTACGAAGTTTGACCGTTCGAGTTTCGCTGTTTATAATATTCCAAGTCGTTTTTACTATATTTGCGCTGCTTTTAATTTTATTATTTATAAACATTGCTTTGGCCGCAACACAAACACGTATAAACATTTTCGAATACTTACTAACACAATCATTAAAACTGTTACTAGTGTTATAGGTCCTTTCATAATAAAGATCATATAGCCTTTGTCTACTTTCGTGAATTCCAACAGTAACCCAATCACTAAATTTCAATGAATTATTAATGCTTATGATTTTGAACTTAAAAATATTATCACGTTCACTTTTCACTATGTTGAAAACTGAATTATACAATTTATTGGTATCGTTAACGTACGGAATGTCAGTTAGTTTAAGCATTACGTTATTTCTATAAGCTTGAAATCGACCATTATTTATCGGAAAAAACCTTTTTCGGCATTTTATCTACAATTATATTTAAAGTGGCCAATTGACCGCAGTGATCAGAAGTTAATATATTTATAATAGATTTATTACTAGGTACGGCGTTAGAATAAATGTTGTCAAAACAAGAGACTGTAGTAGAAGTTATTCTAGTAGGCACCAAGAAAAGATTTACAAGATTGTAACATTGGAAAAATGATATGAGCCTACTGGTAGCACTGAAATCTTCTAATAAGTTAACATTGAAGTCACCACAAACAGCTAACTATGGGACGGAGTGGTCATGAATACGGCAGATTATAACAGCATAGTTAGCCAGATTGACACACCAACCTACAAACTGGCTCAACACATGGCAAAGGTACTGTCACCATTGAGAGGGAACACTTCTACACGTGTGAAGGATTCATACCATTTCATCAGTGGAATCAAAGATCTACGGTTAACTGATGATGACACCATGGTCAGTTTTGATGTTCAGTCGCTGTTTACCAGCCTACCAGTAAAAGATTGCATTGAAATTGTACGTAGAAAGCTGAGGGAACATAATATGTCCATTGAATATGCAGAATTATTAGAACACTGCCTAACATCAGGCTATCTATTGTGGAATAATGAATTCTACCTACAAATTGACGGTATAGCAATGGGCTCCCCGGTATCTCCCGTTGTTGCCGATATTTTCATGGAAGACTTCGAGGAGCGAGACTTACCCATGGCCCCAGCTAGGCCGAAGATTTTCAAACGGTACGTTGATGATACTTTCACAATATTACCTAAAGATAGCATACCTTCTTTCTTGGACCAACTTAATTCTTTTAATACTAAGATCCAATTTACTATGGAACAAGAGAATTGTGGTACTTTAGCTTTCTTAGATGTTTTAATTAAAAGAAATCCTAATAACACCATACTGTATTTCGAAAGAAAACCCATACAGATATGTATCTCAATGGTAATTCCCATCACCATCCTAGCCAGTTAGCTACCGTGGGCAAATCTTTGTTTCAGAGAGCACATGGTGACTGCGACAGTAATCATCTGGCAGGGGAACTTCAACATATAAAGCAAGTCCTACATGCGAATAAGTTGAAGATTCCACGCCAATGCCACAGGCGCCGTGTGAAACCACCAACAGTCGAGCGAAGACCTGCCATCTTACCTTACGTGAGAGGTGTTACAGACAAGATCAGAAGAGTCCTCAGGCGCGCATCTATCAAGACCTATTTCAAGCCCCTGAGGAAGATTTTTCAGTTTCTGAGACCCGTGAAATGTAACATCCCCTTACAGGATGCAAGAGTTTACACGCTTGACTGTGAGTGCGGTCTCTCTTATATTAGACAAACAAAGCGAAGTATTTGCACCCGCGTCAAAGAACATATAGCTGATGTCAAACACCGTCGCGTAAACAAGTCTGCAGTCTGCGAGCATGTCATGGATAAACCTACACATTCAATGAAGTTTGACCAACCCCAGGTCCTTGCAAAAGAAGTCCGTTATCTACCCAGGATGCTGCGAGAGCCCATTGAAATTAAAAAAATCCTAATTTCAACAGGGAAGATGGTTTCTCCGTACCACCAGTTTGGGATCCAGTATTTCCTCTAATGAAAAATCCCAAACAGACATAAGACTGCAGTACTAATTAATATGTTTTAGTTTATTCTAATTTCTAATAATAATTAATAATAAATTGAACTTAATAAAAATTCATTCAATAAAATAATTTGTAAAACTTAATATAGCGTAAATTGGAATGTTTTCTTTGTAAAATTAAAAATAAGGTATTTAATTAATAACTATTGTAACTATAGTGGAAAAAAGGGTGGTTTGCATCAATATTAGACATAACTGGTTGAAGACTGTACCACCTCAGTCAACCGTGACCATGGGACCAGTAAAGGGCCCGAAACTTCGGTTTGTTTGAAAAAACAAATATACGCGATTTAAATCCGGAAAAATAGTTTCATTTCCTATGTGTAACAATCGCGAAAACCTAAGAACTCGATATGTATATTTTTTTCTTTTTGTATGTATGTTACGCGTTAACTCCGGTATTTGTGAACCGATTTTCATGATTCTTTTTTGTTGGAAAGGGTGTACTTCCATAGTAGTTCCATTTCATTTTGAAGAAAATCATCCACCTCTTAGGGTGGCTGTTCACGCATGAAGATTCATTTTTATAAATGACGCCTACATTTTACTTAGATGCAATTATTTTAAAGGTTGGTTTTGCTATTTCTCCAATTCAAGGCGTTTTTTTCTCAATATACTTTGAGTAGTGAGAACCGATTTTTGTTACCTGCAGTGTCAAGTCCTGTATAGTGGCGAATTTAAGGATATTTCAATAAAACTTACCAAATAGACGTAATTCCACGTACTTTTGAGGTCGGTTTTTTAGTACTCTGTACTGAGATTGTTTTCATATAGTTCGTAAGCTGAATGAGGGGGGTCTAGACACTTTTAATATAACAAGCGATTCAAGCTCTATGCAGGATATCTCTATAGTTCGCTCAATGGATAGGCTCACAATATATGTAGGTTCTTGAAATTTTAAATTATTTTTAATAAGAATTAAAGAGCCGACATGAACAGCTTTTTCTCTGCTGAACGAACTAGCCACCTCGTGATTGTTGAAGCTAAACATGAACTGATGTTTAGATAAAAAGTGGTGCTCAGTAATACAAAGAATATCAATATTATTACAGTTAATAAATAATTATATTTCTAACTCTTTGCCTTTCATGTCTTGAATATTTTGGTGCACCAGGTTTCATATACAATTTAATTTATTTCTGTGTGTTTTAGGTTGGTTTTTTTACTGTCACTGTGTTGCAAGAGTCCGTTGTCTTAGTTTGTATGGAGTAATCCTACTTGTTCTTATTCTACTATGCTTTTGATGAACGAACTAGGTATAAAGATTTCCTATTGAAATCCGAATATCAAAATTGAACAGTTTTTTGTGAATATGACTTTAGTGCATGGTGAGATCTCATAGATTTTTTCTAATTGAAACAGGCTAACGAAGCTGTCGTAACATTAAACGGCTTACGTAAGTTTAACAACAAATTTTCCGGGATAGTGAACCCGGAACCAACACTACGAGATCCGGATCAAATCTTACGAACAAACATTTGCTTTTAGAATTGAACCAACTTTGAGGAGAAGGAACGTTGAAGGACTGGGAGATAGTTCCTGATGTTAATAAGTAAATTGGATAGATGTCTTCGGTAAGTCAAAATATTAAATCCAACCATCAAATTACGAAATTATTATGGATAGTAAATTATACTGAATAATGAATAAAACAAAATATGATCAATGTCCACAATATTACGATTTAAACTACTACGTAGGGATACTATGAATCGTTACTAATATAAACAATAATAAATTAATACAAAATAGTACAATAAAATGCAGTGAATTGATTTATTTGGTGCGTAATTGGAAATAAACGCAAGTCGTGCGCCTGGTGGGATGGTAAGCGACACGCCTGTCCATAGCAAATGCAGTGTCACTTACACCTTTCAATCGTAAAGACCTGAGAAGCACCTCCACTACTCAAGTCACCATGAATCATAGTTGGCAAGTCCCGTGTGCCTGTGATTTCACCAGCACCCTTACCCTTTAAAACCGGAAGGCAGTAATGATCATATTACTGCTTGGCGGTGAAATAGGTAAGGTGGCGGTACTTCTCTGGACGAACTCTTACATAAGGAGCTTTGCTGCTATTAAAAATAAAAAAAATAAATGTAAATAAAAGCGATACGAAGAAAAATATTAATAAAAGTACAAAAATTCGTTAACTCTTAAATAGCTGAGATCTTGAAATTAATAAGACAAATTAATACTTGTTGTAAAATTTTGCCCCATAAATTTTCCTTAAACACAGAAACTAAATACAGTTTTTACCAAAACGGAACTACAACTTTGAAGTTGGTCTAAATAAGTTTATATTATTACTTTGATTTTTCATCAATTCAATTCTATTCAACGGAGCTTATTCACCACATCCAGTATATAACCTGAAGTAAAGACAAAATGTCAATTAATTTGTCTAAAAACTATTCTGCCATTTCATTACGGTGATAACTGCGCTCCGATTGGCCAGCCCGAATTCGAAACAATTGACGGGTGACGTCAATTGCTTCACTTCAAATCGCCAAGTTTAACTTGAGCTTTGCTATAATGGACGAAAATTGAAAAAGTACTTATTTAATATTTAATTACGTTTATTTTGTTTAAGTTTCTTTAGTAATTAGATGTTTTGCATACCACCGAATGGAACAGCTCCTATAGTTAAAGATTATTACAATAATTTATTAAAATAAACACAGAACATTTTTCGAATATACGGAGGTCAGTTGTTGGCGCTGTACTATTTCAGCTTTCTAATTTGTGATTTCAGTGCAAACGAGAGTTGATATTTAAAAGTGATATTTAAAAGGCCGATTTGCTTGATCAGTTGCCAGGGAAGTATGGCCCGTATTTCGTCTCTATTTCTGGTTATGCACTCGATGTTACACCATAATATAAAGTTTACTAGCTGGTGCCTGGATTTCATCTGCGTAGAATAAGTAATGGATTAAAATCTTATATAATGTATTAATTCTTAGTATACGTAAGGGCACGACAATGAAGGGCAGACGGCACTTGGTCTTTAAATAAAACAAAGGTCTAGAGAAATCAATAGGTTACTAGAATTCATTGTACTTGAGTATTTATAATTGGCGATTATATTTTATTTGCTATTCCAAAACTGTTTTTTTTTTGGTCAACATTGATTTTGATTTCTAATAAAATAAAAATATAAATAATAATCTTCATTCAATTTAACGATAACGCCAGAAGGCTGTCTGAGATTGTGAGTGGCGTCTCTTTTAACACGGTTCTGGCAGAATACCAGCGTCGTGGGAAACTGCGGCATTTAAGCTGAGCCAGTGCCCTTTCACCGCCATGACTTTTCACTTTATTTTAGTTATCTGTGGTAATTGCTTTTATTATAAAAAAATATTATTTTTAAGTGGTTCAATATAATAATAATTAAGGTGTTAGTTTTAGTGGATCCTATGTAAATAAGCTATCATAGAAGTGAATAGAGTTTTTATCTATCTATCTATCTAATATAATTCATAGTGTATGGATTTTGATGTCGTACTACATCTATAAAAATGACCTTGTCTTGCAGCTGTGTTGTGGTTTCATTTTGGCGGCTTGCACACTTGGCGTAGCTATTTACCACTCGATTCTAGACCTTATGTCTTTTACTAAGAAACTGAATGTTTTAAAAAAAGACTTATACCAAGTCGCTATAGTATCAACAACACCAACAATTTGTTCATGACAATACGATTCATACCACATTCAACGTTCATGCGGTGCACTATGAATCGAACTGTATCATTCATAACTATACTGTCAATATTCCTTATAAGACTCCATAGGACGTCGTCGTACAAGTCTCAAGAAGATTTAAACAAGCAATATCAAAAGCCAGAATTACAAAAGTTAAGCACGTCAGAATCTATAGTCGGAAAAGCAATGGATTTCTTCTATTCCAATAAAACTGTGATGAGTTTGATAGCAAGAGAACTTTGGAATGTCGGTGCAAAGGCTGTTGACACGATAGTGGAAGTTAAGAGTGAGTATTTTTAACCGGCTTCAGAAAAAGGAGTTGGAATTTAAGGAGACTGGTATCATGATTGCGGCAACACAGTACATTTTCTCAAATATTTTGTATGCCCGTAAAAATATATGTATATTTTTATTAAGTAATTTCATTAAGAAAGAAGATGTCCATAATATTTACCTTAGAACTAAGTCCAAACTCATGGTACCACGATTTCGTGTAACTAAGGTAAACCATTCTTTTATGGGGAACTGTATACGTTTTTACGATAAGATTCCGGAGAATATATTAAGATTATCATTTCATTAGTTTAAAACTTACATTAAAAGTATTTTAACTGAAAAGTCATATTATAAAATTGACGAGTATGTGTTAGATAAAGAAGTATGGAAAGATTCCACACAATTATGATTAGCATCTAAGTTTGTAAGTTTGTTTGAAAAGAGCAATCCCTAGAATTTCTTGCTCGTTCTTCTCAAGGAGGTCAGCGTAGTGAACGAGCAATAGCTTAAAAAATGACGTTTTCAAGTGTAAAAATTTTATCTATAGAATAAATGATTATTTGACTTTGACTTTGTTCTCAATTGTGAGTGTATTTTTTTGTGTGTATACGTTACGCGATTACTCCGACATATCTGAACCCATTTTGATGATTCATTTTTGTTAAAAAAGACCGGTACCTCAATAGTGGTCCCATTTAAAGTTATAGAAAATACTCTACTTCTAAGGGTGGCAAATTTCAACTTTTCGTTACCCGATTTTAATAAAACGTGGCGAATAGATAGAAGATTTCGCAAAGTTTTGTGGTTGGTTCTTTTGTATAAAAAAGAAATAATTATGTACTTTTAGGATGAATTTATGTTTAGCAGCGACAACAAACGTTGAACTAAAGAGACCTGCGCTCGACAACCATCTGCAGAGCATCTGCATGGTCGCACAAACTCTCTAGTGCACAAAACAAGCTCCATGCAATCTAATGAAGAAATGACATTGGGACTGCAGACCATACATTTCAACTTTAACATAACTATATTATTCAAAGAGTTACCTTGAAATCTCTGTTGGTTTCTTTCGCTTAAATATTTCCTTGAACATAAAGATCTAGACGGAGACAAAAAATACAAAGCTTCAAGTTAACGTATGTTCGTGTACTAATTTCTCTGGATTTGTAGTATGGATGTAAATTGCAGCAAACTACAGCCTTTTGTACTGTGTCTATGGTTTTTTTTATAAAATATAAGTGAGCATTTGACCTCCATCTCACCTGATATGGAGGTTATATAAGAATTAAAATACAGTGAACGGTAGATTAATATGAACCGGGTCACATTTTGATAAGCCATGCTATCGTTCGTCACTTGTTGAGTGCATATCCTTTGTTTTTTTTGTATGTACTATTATTAAAATTTAAATCATTACCTAAACAGGTGATAAGAATATAATATGATAAACAAAAACTTGCATAATAACGTAAAATGACACAAATTTAATGTTCTTTTTTTATTTTTCAGTAACGACGAAAGCTCCACCACCACAACAATATTACTATCGTTAATACTACCGTAACGTTATTGTTTAATTTTACTGTATTATTGGATTAATAAAATACACAATTAAACATAAATAAACAATACACAAATCGTTTTTTATTAAAAATAGATAGAGTTGCAGTAGAGCTCCTCAGTGCAAAAGTTCGTCCAGGTACTGCCACCTTACCCACTTCTGCCACCAAGCACTAATGTGAGCATTACTGGGTTCCGATTTTGAAAAGTAAAGGTGCTGGTGAAATTATAGGCACATGGGCCTTGTCAACCTATAATATCAGCTCTGAGTGGCACTACAACTGCTATGGACAGGCGTATTGCTTACCACAAGGCATACGACTTATTCGTCCCGTCACTTGGTATAATAAAAAAGACACATATAGAATACTGGATGTGTAAAAAACACTATTGTGCAACACGTACGAGAGATAACTCTCGTATATAACGTATATCTGAGAGTTAACTTTTGTATTACCATTGACCTGTGAAACTTGTACCAATAGTATGTAAAAGCATCCCCGAGGATTACGTTGAGGGAGACATCCTCAATTATGGAATCATTGAACTCATTCTACTAATATACCGTTAGATTTAGAATAAAGTGACAACGGTTTCTGTGTGTTACGAGTACATATATTTTTTTAAGCTATTGTGTTCCACTGTTTGGGCAAAGGGTTCTTACAAAATCCTACACTGCTCTCTGTATTTGCCGATTTCCCAAAACTCAAACCCATTAAGATCTTTTCGCCAACGTCTTCTCGCCCTGCCGTCGCCTTCTGTGCTAAGGAGTAACGATGTTTGCCTACCCCTCCGGTTGCATCCGGCCAACGTGGCCCGTCCAGTCCCATTTAAGCCTAGCTGTCATGGTACCCACATCGGCAATGCCAGTCATCGAACGCAGCATTGTGTTGCGCACTGTGTTATATATATAAACAATTAATAAATAACGCTCATAGCCCCGCACTAGGGAAACCCTAATTACACCCGAACTCACGAGAAAGATGTAGAACAAACAAATATTTATCCCGGCCCAGGAATCGAACCCAGGACTTCTGCGTGGCAGACAAGCACGGCAAATTTTATGCCAAAGCCAAACAATGAAACGTGCGAACCTTTTAGAACCCACCTCACAAATTCTTACAAATTTAACTGAACAAAAAGGCTCAAAGCAAACATATTTGCCCGTTCCCCTTATATTTGTAAAGAACATCTTACTTAGCGTCTGCATCGGGATACGGCATTGAATAATGGAAGAAATATGATGTCTGAAAATAGGATAGAGCAAAACTTTCTTGTATTCGTGATGCGTTCGCTGTTGGAGCTACAAAACTTTTAAGTTACATTTTAATACTGCTTTGGGATTTCAGTTAAAAAGAGAAAAGACTGTGGTGTTCGTGCAAAAATTCTAATTTTACTACAATCATCGCCTTCACCTGTCAATCGTCAATGTTATAAATACAATTTCGTAGAAAGAACATTGTGCAACAATGAACTACCAACTTAACTTCTATAATACCAGACATCAAGTAAAATTTCACGAAAGTTATGGATAAAAATAAAAACTTAAGTCATATAGTGAAATTTTAAAATCTAAACTTATACATGTTTTATTTATTAAGATTGTTGTGAAATAACTCCACTAGTTTTGTTATGATTACGAATATAAAGATCGAACACACAGAAAAATTCTCGTTGACCCGGTGGGACTTGAACCCACGTCCATACTGCACTGTAGCATTGCTCCAACTATGTGAGCCACGGCTCCAGTTACCAAGTCGTCGAAGTTCTACTATGTGTTTTTGTTATAGATCTTTGTACTGCCTTTCGATATTCGTTGCCGCTAGCGACATCTAGTGAGAGATTTTTACCTTCTCATTGCAGCCGATACATTTTTTTTAACATTTCTTTTTTAAATAAGAATAAATAAAGGTAAATCTGTGTCACTAAAAATATGAAAGTACATGACATGTAGAGATGATTCACAAAGTTCGCTCAAAAGGGCAAACGTAAATATTTATGCAACATAAACTATTGATCAGTGTAAGCCGAATTGAATCCAATGCGCATTGGAGAACGTCTATATTAAGCTACACGACTAAGTTCTCATGTAAACTGCGCGAGTAAATTCCTAAGGCTATCATATTATTTGAAATTGCTGATGCAGAACAATGTAAACTTCATTACACTTATTGAGCCAATGCGTTGAACTACTGCTTATACCTTTTTTATGATTCCAAATGGTTGTCCATAGCAGCTGTAGTGCCACTCAAAGCTTTCTATTACAAAGATCTGAGGGCCACTGCGCCCATCACCCTGAGACAAAAGTTAACAAGTCCCATATGCCTGTAATTTCCCCAGCAACTTTACACTTCAAAACCAAAACGCAGTAATACTAACATGACTGCTTGACGGCAGGAATAGGTAAGGTGGTATTAATTACTTCCCTGGATAAACTCTTTCGCAAGGAGTTCTACTGCTAGTACAAGGACCTCTACTGCTACCTTCTTCTTAGAGGAAATTCTAGACAGTGACATGAATAGAATAATGAATATGAATAGTAACTTATAAATACAAGTCGGGTAGTGGTCAATTGTTGACAGAATTGTACTATTGGCATTGGCATTGGTGTTGCCAAGTCTACTGAGCCCTTATAAGAAAAGCTTATGTCAAAATAATATGCCACCTCCATTCTTTGTACAAAAGCCTCGTTTCTGAATTGGAAACCAATACTTTAACATATCGTCTGTCTGCTAATAATGGCCTTTCTGAATCTTTATATCACGCTTTATCTTTATACTTGTATGTATTTTAGAAACCTTTTCATGATTTTAGTATGTAAGGAACAATCGTATCAATTCCGTTTCAGATATTATGTGTAATTAATGAAGACGTTTACTGCAGTGAGGGTTAACAAATTCATCAAAGATTCATGAAAGTTTTAAAACCAACCTGGTAAATACCTAGTATTCGTTCCTAACAGTCCACAAGGATGGTTTTTTCAGACTTGCTCTTTAATGTTTAATAGCAATTCTACAAATACTCACATACATCTTTTTTTATGATACCAAGTGATCGCGATACCTACACTTGCCCATAGTAGTTGCAGTGCCACTCAGAGCTTTAAATCACGAAGATCTGTGAGGCTCTGCCCGTCACCCTGAGACATAAGATGACAGACAAGTCCTGCCTGTAATTTCACCAGCACCCTTACCCTTCAAAAACAGAACGCGGTAATGCTTACATTACTATTTTGCGGCAAAAATAAGTAAGGCGGCAGTATTTCCCTGGATGAACTTTTTCACAAGGAGCTGTACTGCTTCTGAATATTCGCATTGGACACGGGTTTCCTCTTAGAAGAGGGTTTTGGCCTAGCCTAATGCGCGTTAATGATTTCACACGTTTTCCAAAGAGTTGTGAACTTTCTTCGACTAGTGCGACGTTAGCGAGAGGTAATTACGAAACATTTACAATTGTACATACTCGTAACCTGTATCTTACATTCATAATTATATACCGCCTCAAGGACTTAAACCGTCGACCTGTAAATTGAAAAGCAACCGTTCTTCTGTTAGGCTACTACATTAAGCTTATTATACGTGATACTTAGTTTTTAATATAAGAAAATCAGATGTATGAAAAATCAATATTAGGTAATCAATTCGAGGAGATCGTAAAATTTGTATAAGAATCGATTCCCCGTTAATAGGTTATTGGCGTCTTGTTTATCTTTGGAGAATTGTTTACCAAACACGTTTCAACTGCAAGCCTATACAGGCTATCAAGGAAACAATAGAACATAACTTTGTTTACTTTACCAGTAAAAAAGTCTCAGACTTGGTTCAGAGTCCAGAGCGTGAACAAAAAATACAAAAGGTACAAAAGTCAGAAAAATGTTCCGTTTTCGTAGCATTACGATGTACCTTCTGATAACAGTGACAATTTTAAAAGTAAATGCTCAAATTTATGAAAGAAATTTACATTCATTCATTGCTGATTGGGTAACGAATAGAGCTATGGATATATTTTATGGGAACAGCAGTATGGTAGACGTTATGTCCCAAGGTTTTAATGGCCTTAAGGACAGAACTGTTGCAAATGTTATGCGACAAGGTAAGACATTTTCTTTTCATATACCGGACTGCAAGATAACCTTGAGTCAGGAACAAGCTGCTTTCTAGTCGGTTGACTTGACTTGCGCAATATCACTCACATCATGTTATTTTTTTAATTATGACTTGTTTTAATGGTGAAGAAAAATATCGTGACAAAAAAAAATAGCTACATCATTTACTTATTCATTTATAGAACCGATATTAAGTCGTTAAAATGTTGACAGTGGCCATAGACGTCCCGTCGATAATTTTTTGTATTGGTTTCAGCTCGCTCGACTCCGATTTATGATCTAAAACAAATTGGTCCATCAACCAGCGCCATGAGTCTTCAAAAAATTATTTTGAAACGAGCAACTGATTAATCCATCTGATGTAACTTAAGCTTAAAAGTAATAAATTTTGGTTACCTCGTGCAATACATTTTATTATTATGTTATTTATTGCACAGGAAAAAGCACAGATTATATTTAATAAAAGGAAAACACAAACAAAAGGTACTGCTTATTTCTATAAGAAATTTCTTCCTGCAGACCCCTAATACAGGACAAAGTAACTACCATCACGGGCTTACGTGCACAAAAAACTATATTATGTAATACAATATTAATAACATTAAACTAGATAAATACATATTTCATAATAAAAAACCTATAAAATGGTTGGAACAGCAGATAAATAATTTTTAACTCTCAATTTAAAAGTAGCTAACGATGTACTTTCGTGAACAGAAATAGAAAGTACGTTCCAAAATCTGACCGCATGAACAGTAAATGAGTGAGAATAAAAACTGAAATTGAAGGAAGGAAAATATCACTGGGACCTAACGAGATAGCGACAGCGTTTTGTCTTGATACCTGAGAAAGCCGAAACGCTCTTTCAGATACTCGGGGGACGAAGGGTTACGAAGAATATTGAAGAGAACAGAGACAATATGTAAATTCCTGCGGAGACGAACAGGAAGCCGCTTGAGTTGACTACGATAGTGTGAGATTCGGTCAATTCTATTCGGTCTGTTTTAGTTTTTGAGTCCTGTAAAATTGAGTTAACAATATGCTGAATTTATAATTTGGATCGTTGTTATTGCAAGTGACATAGAGCTGAATTTAAGCTCAGTGAGTGCTTGTGACAATATTTATTTATTTGGGACTACTTACAAAACATACACAAACAAGTGGTCAAAACAATAGACATTGTGGCTCAAGTTATTGTGTTGTTTCATTTACAATTAATGATTTGGCAGAATAGTTTTCATACAAATGAAAAAATATTTCGTCTCTATTTCTGGTTATGTACTCGATGGAATAAATGTATGTGCATGTGGGTGACAACTAAGGTAGCCTAAAGTAGCCTTTTTGATTCGGCTTTGTACTTATTAAGGTTACGCGAATAAACGTCACTGTCAAATTGTAATGCCACATTGTTGTAGTTTTTTACCATTCTGGTAATGGAGGACTTTAGGCCAAGATTACTACGGGAAGGGGCGTCATAAAACAGAAATTATTTGCTTTTTCGTGGCATTTTGAATGGGATATTTAAAATTAAACAGCAATTGGTATAATGACAACATAAATAAATGTTACTGTATTATAATATTTTATATTAAAGAAATGTAAAGTTTAGAAAATGGCGCACGCTGAAATATTCGACCTTGGTGTAGTGTCGATGAGTTAAGGTAAAAACAATTGTGTACTGTTTTTATTTTTCTTCGGTATTAGTGAGTTCTATACTATTTTTTCGATTTATTAAAGAAATTCAGAGGAAAAACAAAAGTCTCGAGGGTTATTTTAATTTGTGTTCATTAAATGTTTTTGTTTTGTATTGAGATAGACGCATATTGACAAAAAACGAAATTGTGGATTGTCGAGCCACCTCGCGTTTTTGCCTTAAAGGGCTAGAATACAAAAATAGTGTTATAATCGAAGAAAAAAGTTTCCCCCGGGTTTTGCAAGTCGAAATTTCCAACAAGGACTTATGGAAGAGACTTTTAATATACTAGTTTCAAAATTTGAATCTTTGATTCTTGATCAATCGCACATTGTTTAAGCTTAGGACATTTAATACTGATGCGAGGTGGCTCGAATTATGTGTCGGGGAGTGTATAATTGTTATACGTATTTACGTTACTCTAGAACATGCATGTTCAATTTACTTATAGGGATCGGGATAAGAAACCTAGAAAAGTTTGGCATTAGAGCAACAAAGTTGAAATGATTGACGGAATACCTGACAAATCGAACTTGGTGACTAACTTAGTGATGAGCTCCCTATTACACATGGTGCCCCGCAAGCTGATATTGTTGACCCAATCCTCCTTTTATGTTTTAGAAATGAGATCTGTCAACTCTAATTACCAAATTGTAAAATAATTGCTTACGCGGATGACACAACATTCTGGCTAGCAGCAAACTCCCTAACTATAGCTAAAACGAAATATATAACTTTCTGGAATCGGAACACCACGTCTTCCTCTTGTTTAAGCCACAACATATATGTCCATACATGCTTATTTCCCCCAACTATTGCCTGCAACTGTAAAAGTATTGACAAAACACAAAGCATACGCTATCTTGGGATCACTATTGACAACAATCTCTCTTTCTATGCACATATTCAAAATTTGTCTCAAAGAATTCGGAAACTCATCTACTTTTTTAAATACCTTAGACAAGTCACTGACAGCAAAACTGTGCGAAATTTGTATCTAGCGCTAGTACAATCCGTAATTACCTATTGCGTTACGTCTTGGGGGGAACTACTAAAAACAATCTAATAATATTAGAAAGAGCTTAAAGATGTTTGCTGAAGGTTGCACTCCTAAAACACCGAGTTTTTCCTACATTGCAACTATATCTGGAAGCGAACGTGCTATCAGTACGGCAACTGTACCTGCTCCTAACCTTAATGCGTCAACACTAAATCATTTCCCCTTCTAGAAACTGTTCTGTGTATACTAATCGAAGACTTTTTACAAGTTCCGAACACAACAGCGCTAGAATTTTGTTTGCGCAAAGATTCTTCTACTATAGAGGTCGTATTTATAATTTTTTAAATTATAAACTAAACATTTTACTCTTCACACACACAAACACACACACACAAACACATACAAACACACACACATACACATACACACACAGAGCATTGTTAGTGTTTTTTTAACTGTGAACTTATAACATCAAAATTTAACAAATATATAATTACCGCACAACTTCGTGACAACTACTCGCTACTACAACTCATTCTAGTACGACGTAAGTCTGAATTCTAGTGATGCATGATAATTATTGCACATTCCATTGATATTATCAATATTTACTGCTAACATCCTTTTCCACATCAACATTTTTAACATTCAATGCGGATATTATGGAAATATCAACTTGGTTTGAAATTGGTTTAAAAACCCCTCACAATGTTTACGTGTTCACATATCGATGAAGACATCTGAAAGCAATGAACAAATACAAAAAAATTATATTGCTAGTTATTTTTATAGTGCATATAATTTTTGAAATAAGCGCAAGGAATTTTAACATAAAAGATGTAACAGAATCAGAAAAAATTGAGTATAGACCAGATAAATATATTAAGAACGGTCTGTTGGATGTTATGTTTGGCAACAAGACATTAATAAATATTATATCTAGAGATTTAACCACACTTCTGAAGAAGGCCACCATGAGTAAGTATTGCGCATTATTTTATCGCCTACAGATTAAAACAATAATTTGTTATAGCACACTAGCTGTACCCGATATGCGTTGCACTGCCAGTGAAAACGTGTAAGTAGCCAACCCGCATTGTCTCATCGTGCTAGACTTTATTTATTTATTTGAAGGAAAATCAGCAGCTTAAAAGTAAATTAAATAAATAACATAAATAACAACTTTGAGCCAATTAAAGATCCTCACAAGTAAAAATATAACAAGGAATCTGGTGCACAATTTACCTAACTTATTATATATGAACTTAAAAAAAGAGAAGAAAAACCACAGAAGTTGTAATCCTCTCTAACAGTCAAAGAAATGCCCACTCAGTGTTCTCATTGCCGAAATCAAACTCGTATTGAACAGATCCAGACCAAAAATATTACATAAAATGTTAAAATTATAGCTTGCACTCCAAATAAACTCGTTTTGCCTGTAATCATTGACATTGGATTGGTAGGTCAATGCTTGTAATTAGTTTGGGCCGGAGGTAGAACCAAAAGTGAATATGTTTCTAAAATACTTAGAGGGAACTCTCAGTGATAATTATGATAGCAATTCCGGACAGTCAATAGAACCCGATGATATTTATAATAAAAACTTTAAGTCATTAGTATCACGACGAATTTCAAGTGGCAGGAGATGATGCTTAACGCACAGATTGTCAAGCCGAGAAATGTAAATATGATGACGAGAATTCCTAATTTGGCTGTCATACTCTAAAATGCTACGAACAAATGAGCAATATAGTATTTTTATAGCTTTTACCTGTGCTTTTTTTTATTAAAAAATGAGTGCTCATTTGAACTCCATCTCACCTTAAAGCAACGATAAGGTCGACTACGGAGCATGCACACCTAATTTATTTTAATTCCATCATTACCTCTACCAAAAGAAAACAGTATATAATTATTAAAACGTACTTAAAGACACTTATTTTTTCAGAACGTTCAATAAGAGAGGAAAGTGATTTCATTGATTTAATGAATGGAACAGTTCTAATCCCTAACAACAATAGCTTAGTAAAAATGATTTCCAAAGGCTACGAGTACGACAAAGAAAGAGGCATGCAAATGCTTAAAGAATTTCATAATAATTCTGGAACTTTCGACTATCACCAAACAAAATTCGATTACCATTACCACTCCGAAGTGGACAACGATCCTTATTTCGCAAATGTGTAAAAGAGAAACAAGTTGGACAACCTTTTTATGGCTGATTTCAATTCATGAGGTTAATAAACATTGGGCTTGAATAATATAGAAATAAAGCAAAGCGGTCGACTCGCTTACTTGAATAATGAGGCTAAAATGATAATCTTCACTATTTACCTCAGACGCCTATTTATCTACTCGTGTTTCATTGGTTTCGCTAGAGATTATTCAACACAAATGGTTCTTCTCCGCTCTATTTTTTTTTTGGGTAAAACATTGTGGTACAGTTTACTAATGCATAGAATATAATACGAATCGAGAAAGTTTAAGTACATCATACAAGCCACATGCCGTTTACATTGGGCTCTAGTAGTAGTATACTGATTACTGCTATGCATTTAAGGTGTTATCACGGAAATAAATCATAGCATCAAAGACAGAAACATAGCTATTAGCTATGTATAATTTATTTATGTATAGTTATAGACAAAGAAAATCCAAAAGGTAAGTGAATTGGAAATGGGTATAACATTATTAGAATTAATTAAAACTTATTATAATTTGAATAAGTCGGTCGTGATTAAATTATTGTCATTACAAACATTTAGAGACTAACTTCGTAGATAAACCGTTTAAATTGCGAAATGAAACCGAAAATTGCGGATAATCCATTTCTGGATGTAATTTCAATTAGAACATATAATCGAAATATTGTTTTCTAAAATACTGATAATAGACTGAATAGTCTAGAAACAAAGAAAATACATTTATATGTTTACACACAAATGACACCACAAAGGAACAAAACATTCAAACGTAAAACATAAATAAACAATAATAAAACACAAACTCTTCATTTAAAGACACTATGTCTGAAGATAGTTTGTGTGCTGCCAGGCGCGGTAATAAAACGGTAAAGGCAAAATGCAATGCGTTGCCTACACTGATTATCAGTTAGCACCCTACGAGTCAAGAAACGTATAATCTTAAATTCATATGAAGTAAATCAGATCAACAAACGATGAATTGTCCCACTGTCAGCTTAAATAAGTACTTGGAAAATAAAGAGGAAATGAATAAACAGTCCCATCGACGGTTTTAAACTTGTTGCCAATGTCCACTTGTACTAAACTTAAATATGTCTTAAACTTGAACCAATGCTTGCAATGCAAAAGAAACTCTTAATGCGTTGCGTTAAGAGTATCTTATCAATTTAAGCATTAGTTTAAGAAGTACTTAAGTTTAGTACATAAGTGTTATATTAAGATTGAAGTTATCTACTGTCCGTCTAAGTAATATCTTAATACGGTTTATCTCCTGCTTTTTTATGTTGACCACCACAAGTAATTTTATAATGATTTAATTACAGTATAAGATGTAAGCTTTTTGCACTATGTACCTTAATAAATATTAAATATAAATATTAGATAATATCACATACGCTGATCCCAAAGTAAGTAACTAAAGTATTTGTGGTATAGAAATCGGAAACAACAATAGTACCACAAACACCCAGACACGAGACATCATAGAAATGTTAGTTTTTTGACCGAACCTCAGAGATAGCGACACCACGAAAACCGATGTGCAAGCCACTCGACCACGGAGATCGTCAAAAAGAAAAATTAATCGTTTAGACATTTATAGAACAAAAATACTTTTTTCATCTTATACTCCATTCGACTTCACAAACATAGTTAATAATTATATCTTATTGCATAAGATACTTCAAAGGCAGACCCTTAATCGAGGAAATCTTGAAACCATTCTTTTAGCCTTTAAAGGGATTTGTAACCAAAATGAACTGATGTAGGGTGACTCAATGTCGTTATTTTAATACGTGTTGCGAGAATCTTGGTATAGACCCTGATTTCATAGTAGGTACAATGTCTATATCAAACAAACACAATTACGGACCGCTCGAATTTTCTACAATTAGAACACACAGGAGATTTCCATTGTTATGATATTAGACATTTTGTAGACTAATGGCGGTCAAGCGTTCATGCATTCTTGTTTGACAAATACCACACATTGATTGCGTAAACAGGGTTTAGCAAACAGGACTAAATATGAGAACATTCTACTATTATTGTCTATATTATTCATAATCATTATATACATAGGCCCGTTGAACGGCACAACAGCCGGCCTTGTGCTGATGCATCCAGCGGATGCAAGCAACCTCTACCAGGTCATCGGTCCACCTTGTGGGTGGTCTACATGCGCTGCATCTTTCGGTACGCGGTCGACGGTCGAGAACACTTTGACTTTGACTTATGGGCTATCAGTTCAGCGAGCAATGTGCCTCGCCCACTGCCACTTAAGTTTCGCAATTCGTTTAGCTATTTCGGTTACTCTGGATCCCTTGCGGATACCCTTATTACTGATTCGATCTTGCATTGAAACTCCGAGCATAGCCATTTCTTTTGTCCTTAAGTGACCTTGAGCCTTCTTGTGAAGCCCTTAGTGAGCAACCACGTCCCAGTGCCGAGAGTCATCACTGGCAACATACATTGGTCAAAGACTTTTGCCTTGAGACACTGTCAATTTTTTATTTATTTATTTAGGAAAACGTACAGTGTTATAGAAATCTTACAAGAAATATATTAACTTACTAACAAACCAGGTTGGTCCATTAAATACGTACAAGTACCTATTACAAAATATGAGTTTGTACAGTAGACACCTATCTAAAATACACATACAGAAAACAAATAATACAATATATTGTAGACAGTAATTAAACCTGTCACAGAGGTTTTAGTTTATTCAAGAGGTCCTCTGTCAAATATAATATTTCCCACATTTTTCTTGTAACTCGTCAATGATAACGAAAAAATGTCGATGTCTTTAAATTTCTCATTATAATACTTACACGACAGTCGAATAAATGTGTTTTGGCGTAATTCATAGAACAAGAACAATTATTTATTATATTTATAATTTATTTATTTACGAAAAATCAAAACTCGACCAAATTTTAATGAAAAGTCACAAGAGCTGACATCAAACAGCTAGCAAACGAAAATTCATTAAAATTTTACATCCTACTCAAATCAAAGTATGTGGTCACTATACCGAAGAGAATAGCGTATCCGAAGCCATAAATCCCTTTCGGGCTACTAATAAATAATTTTCCAGTCCCCATCTCTTTGTGGCCTTTGATGTTTTAAAAGCTATTTCCTAAGTGTGTGCTTCAGCATGATTGGAAAGTAAGGGTGCGATCTCATTGAAAATTCACCATCGGGTAATTGATGGTGAATTTTCAATGAGACTATATTTTAAGAATATAGAGCATTTGAATTCAATGATGATTGATGTAGTTTTGTAGGTGCAGTAAATTCAACTAAATAAAGAAAAAAATTGATGTGAGTTTTTTAGTTTTTCTTTTAATGATATCAAACGACGGGGCGTAGAATTTGTACTCATTCAGTGCCACTCACAACTTTAAATCGCAAAGATCTGAGGAGCATTGCCACTGTGCCTCTCAGACGTACCCTGTCCGTTACCCTGATACGTACGTTAACAAGTCCTATGTGCCTGTAATTTCACCAACACCCTTACCATTCAAACCAGCACGCAGTAATGCTCACATTATTGCTTGGCGGCAAGAATAGGGTAGGTGTCATTACTTCCCCGGGCGAACTCTTTCACACAGAACTTTAGTGCTAGTGTATTATTGGTATAATTTATTATTAAAAACCAACATTATTAAGGCAACACAAGTTATAACGCCAATGTTCATCAAAACGCAGCACGTCCTCAGCCTGAGTCCAAAACCTTTATTGAAATTCGAAAACAGGATAGCAAAAAAATCTAAGTGATATCCACTTGTTGTTGTGTAGCGAGCCTTATTTGAACTTTTTCAATGGGAGTGAGATTTCTCGTCCAAAGCGAGAGGTTCCTAATGAGCGCACTTGAAAACAAAGCACCAGGTATAGTACAGGATCAGGTTCTTTGATATTTGAACCGACTACGCAATAATTTCAACAGCTCTCATTTGAGGGTCAACATTTTTAGTTGCGTGTTTGTAGGCGTAGTTTTTTTTAACCGTATCAAATTAACAAATAAGGCTATAGAAGCAATTTCATAAGCGAAGGTTTTGTTTTAATTTAATATCGTAAATCTTAATAAAACTGTCTGTCTTGAGAACAATTTAGATGAAACTGCTCTTTTTTCGATAAATAATTAAATAAGTTTGTAGCAAATCGCAGCAGTAGCTACAAATATAGTTTTATGTTAAAATTCTAAATTTGAATGTACTTGTTTTTGGCGCCTTTTCTTGTTGTTGTCACTTTTGAGTCTTTTGGTTGATAGCTGTGCGTTATGTTAAATAAACCGTAAGTACATTTCCTTTGGTCTTGCACGCTTTTCGATAGCACCCGAACTGAAAAAAATACAGTCCACTACAGTGTTCTCATTAGTAAATAGTTCCAGTGATGTACACAAGGAAAAATATGACCTTACGTACGGCCGATATCTTAAGATATGTGATCCCCAAACGGACTAATTAGTTCTAAGTAGATCAGTGTGAAGAAAAGTATTAAACAAACTTAACACTTAACCTGTGAGCCGTAAAATTCATTTTGGTATGACTTCCTTATTGTATCATTAATGAATGACGTTTTAAGAAATTTTTTACCCCACCTTGATCTTTAATTACATTACATAAATACAAATTTCAGTCAAAAACTGGAACTCCTTTACACTTTTCTGTTGAATTCGTATGAAGGCTTTCAGAACCAAAAGGTCGGTTAAGAGGTCAGGTATCTAAAGAACATCGACTGTACACAATGGAAGTACATATACATTGTTATGACAAACATTAAAAAAATATATACAAATTGCTACATATTCAGTTAAATACAGATAAAAACCTGTAATTCTTACCTTACTTAATATACTTCACAAAGTAAGTACTCTTAAGTGAACTGTATGATAAATAACTTAAGTCTTGCAAGTAAAACTCCTACTTGTTACGTATATTCGCAGTTTGAAAATTAAAAACGTTGAAGAGAGATTTACAAATTGTTGAAATAAAGTAAAGAGACCAAAACGTTGGTTACTTTGAAAAAAAAAAACAAATAAATATTCTTTATACCCGAAATAATACTTTCATTTTTAA